TTAGCCTCTGCTCCAGCAGCGTCCACCATGTATTAAAGATGGCTTGCGCCTCTCCAGGGAGGCTCTACTGGGGGTTGGGAGCGCCCTGCAGGAATTGTAGCAGTTTGTGCCCGGCCTCCCACCAATCTGCCCCTTTCAAAAAACCGGACAGCCGAAGCGGAGGGCTTCCCTCCGTGCAGAATCAGAGGGACGTTTCAAACTAACGTCCCAAGGAAAAGATAAAATAAAAATATTTTTTTTAAAAATAAAATCCGGTGGCTGTTTGGGAGAGGAACCCATGGGCCTTCCTACAAAATAAAAAGCTAAAGGTTAAGCAGGCGCTCTGGCGTAATATAGCTGCTCTGGCAGAGCAAATATTTTCACTGGCCGTGCCTTGCACACCGTTGCAAAACCGTTTGCTGGCCTCTTTTAACAGTCGGAAATGTCAACAAACAACGTCGGATTGAATGGTGCAAAATCTAAACTGGGCCACAGGGTACCCGGTTCTGCCTAAAGCAGCTCCACTTTGGCCAAGACTACAATGCCCATCATCCCCCACCACAGGGCCCTGCTTAGCCGCTCGCTTTAACAGTAGTGCTTCAATATCTCAGGGGCTGCCCCAAAGTAGAGGGAGTCAAGCTATTCTCCAAAGCGCCTGAAGGCAAGACAACAAAGCAACAGATGGAAACTCATCAAGGAGAGAAGCAACCTGGAACTAAGGAGAAACTTCCTGACAGTGAGGACAATTAACCAGTTGTGGATGCTCCATCACTGGAGGTTTCTAAGAAGAGATTGGACAACCATTTGTCTGAAGTGGTATAGGGTCTCCTGCTTGAGCAGGGGGCTGGACTAGATGACCTCCAAGGTCCCTTCCAGCTCTGTTATTCTGTTCTGAGACCCTCCGTCGGGCGGCAGGGGGGGGGGCGGTGGCTGCTGTTCCTATTTGAGGAACAGCCCAATCAAGTCACTCCTGCTCCCCCCTTCAACCTTTAGTGCTTCCCAAGGGACACACACACACACACACACACACACACACACACACAGAGTTGTCCTGCTGAGCACATGCAATCATGCACTGCACCATTAATAGCTGCCTGCTCAGGCAGGATCAGCTGCCAGATGGCCGGACGGAGCTATCCCAAGTCTTAAGGGTCAGCTAATCACAAATGGTTTTCCTTTTCCTTCTCCAGGGGGATTATCCTGCTGCATCCACCACTTTCCGCCCTCCATTACTTCTCCCAGGAATCAGCACAAAGGAGGGATTCCCCCCCCCAGACCTTTGCTGACACTCTGCAGCTTTTCTGCAAAGGTGGATGCTTCTCGTTGCAAAATGATTGATTCCCTCAGAAGGGGGGGGGGAGAAAATGTGCTTTTTCTTGCGCCCGCGATCAAATTCACGCAGACGCAGGCACACCTATTTCTCAGATCCAGTCAATCGGCGGCAGATTGGAAAGCAGGATTTTGTACTTCCAGCTTTTTGGGAAAGGGTGTGCAGGGGCCTGGATGGAGACACCACCAGGGTTAAGGATTCTGGGGAAACTGTTCACACGCGTGTGCCTTCAGCTGACCTTCCTTCCCCCCCCCTGGATTTTGCAGGGCTGAGGCTTTTCGAAGAAGCTCAGCTGCCTTGAGCCAGCTTGAAATCTCAACACGCTGGACAAAAGCAATGTTCTTTTCTTTGGACACCCTGGGGATTCTTGCTAAAATGTTTTAGGGAAAAAAAAAAAAGGAGAGCACAATTTCCAGAAAGCCGTTTACGCAGATTGCTCCGCTGAGCTTCTCTGTTCTGAGGCAACCTATCTGTGAATAACTGCTAGGAGAACCTTTGGCAGGTGGGATGCTCACGGTCCCCAACTTACACCAGTTCGTTTAGTGACTGAAAATTGCCACTCGCGGCCGTTTTTCACACTGACGACGCTTGCAGCGTCTCTGCAGTCACGTGATCAAAATTCAAAAATGTTTGGCAACCGGTTCGTATTTATGACGGTCGCAGAGTCCCGGGATCATGTGATCCGCTCTTGGGACCTTCTGGCAAACAAAATCAATGGGGAAGCTCCACTGTGTACCAAAATGACATGCAGAATCTTTTAAAACAGGGCTGGACAAAACTACGGCCCCTTTACGTCCTGTGGACTTCAACTCCCAGAATTCCCTAGCCGTGGCTGTCTCAGGAATTCTGGGAGTTGAAGTCCACAGGACGCGAAGGGGCCATAGTTTTGTCCAGCCCTGTTTTAAAAGATTTTTGTAAATTAACCAGCAGTTTCAAAAATACGATGCAACTCTTCGCTGCCAGAAATGAATTAATATTTAAGCCATACCAAGCAAGTCCTGTTTTGTACCTTTTCTCCAGTTGCATGTGCCAACTGGGAAAGAACACGCTGCAACAGCCCAATGTTTTCAAAGAAAAATCTGAGGTTATATTCCCTATCATTATGTCTCATTACAAAATCTTTCCTGCCCAAATTAATGATTTTCAAATCTAATCATAGGCTGGGACATTGCAAGTCCAATGCACGCCTCTATACTGACAAACACAAACTTGCCGGATTGCATAAAACACGTGTCGGGGTTGATCAACCACTGCAGAGATGTTGGGTTCACACGTCCCATCATCCCCATCCTGCTGGTGATTTAACTGCTGCAGCGAGAAAAATATTTCTGCTTGCATGTGATTGTCTGGTCCCAAGGAAGAAAGATGGACCTATTGCTCAAAGCAATGGGCGTTTTCCGGACAAATGTCCTCCCACAATAATGCAGTTGCAGATCACAACTTTCTATCAAAATGCAACCTGGCACTTGCCACAAGCCTGAAGTCACTGTGGGATATTTATGCTTCCTGATAATTCTGCATTTATGTCAACCAGAAATGTTTTGCACTGAAGCCCCAATTGTCTGTGCTGTAAACGCTGGAAAATCCCATGTGTTCCATTGCTTAGATACCTTTTAAAAAGAGAAGTTGCTGGCTGATACTAAAGAGGTTTAATTTCCATTGTGCCTTTGGCTTTCTAAGGAAAAAAATAACCCGCGCCACAAAGAAACCCTTATTTTACAAAGTTCGCACCCCATTAATTCCAGCAAAGCTTTTACAAAAAGACGAAGCCCTTGCAAAATAGAAACAGACCATCTCTACGTAACCAGTGCTACTTGCCTCAAGCTTACAGTTATCCCCAAAGGGCAGACAGAAGTTCAGAATCGCAGCAAGAGGAAAAAGAGAGAGATCGTGCCAGTGAGCCGAGCTACATTTCAGAACCATTCTGAGAACTTTACATTGGCCTAGTTTGGGAGGGGGGGAGGGAAGGCATCACCAAATACAAGTTGAGTTTCAAGAATCTGGCAAAGGAAAGGAAGCCAAAGAAGCATTTCCTGTTGCTTCAGAGAACAATGGAATAAGTTTGCAAAGACTAAAAAGCTGGAAAAGGCCATGTTCCTAATTTGTGCAGCTGCCCCCTCCCAAACCAGGAGCCCTCTAAGAGTCTTGAGCTCTGTTCACAAACTCTGGTTTATTTTAAGCACGCATTCCTCCAAAAGCTAAGCTCAGCTCTACAGTTTAGCCCCAAGCTTAAAAACTATCCTAGCTGGACTTCGAAGCATCAAGGGTTCACCTCTAGCTAAAGCCACTCGTTTGGAACAGGTTTTATACCAAGTTGATCTTGCTGCTTGATTTAAAAGATCTAACTTGATGATCAGAGGTTCTCCTTCAGCAGACAACGAGAACACCTTGCAATCTTTCTTTCCCCAGCCCCATTATGCTTTCAAAGCACAACTGCTCAGGCCAATTTGGACGGAACGCCAGGAGGTGACCTTAAGGCCTCTCTTACGCAAGCCAAGAAAGCCGCGTGGGACAAAAACAGCAGGGGCACAACCCGTTTTTAGGACATTGTGTTTCAAAGGAAGGGAGAAACGCAACAATCAGGACTTGGCGAACGGGTGTGGGTATGTGCGTGTGTGCGTGCGTGCGTGCGTGTGTGTGTGTGTGTGTGTGTGTGTGTGGAACCCTCGCCGATTGAGCAGAACAAAAACAGACACAATCTTAGAAGGCCAAGGAACAGTGTGACACAATTTAGAGGGACTTGCCCTTCCAAGTTTGCTATTTACAAAACGCCAAAGTGCAACAACAGAGCAAGGGTTTTGCAAAAATAAAAATAAAATAAAAATAAAAATAAGCTAGCCTCATAAAGTTCACCCACTAGGAAGGACAGCTGGCTCTGAAAAATCAGATTATCTATTATTATTGTTGTTGTTGATTTAATCTTCCATTTGATTCACAGTCTGGACTGATAAGTTTTTATCAGTTTTATCAGTTCAAGTCCACACCAAGGACCTAAGAGCTGTTAAGGTAATGTCTAAGTATATAAGTGGTATTATTATTATTATTAGTCCACATCAGGATTCCCCAGGGAGATTCAGAAACCAGGGGGGAAAAAGTTTAGATAAACTCCCCCCCCCCAGAAGTATTTTAGCAACAGGGAGGGCAAGAATGTAATAAACACCAGCTATATTCAGGGGTTAAACCAAGAGTCAGCACTGGTGCCCAAAGACACATTTGGATAAACAAAGATAGCAACACACCACCAGAAATACATACTAATCTTTTAAGAAGCCTTTTCCTATGCAGCGACATCTGCGGATTCCATAACCTGGAGGTTTCATAATCTTATAGTACTTTCATAATTATCTCCCATTTAAGGAAGTGTATATGACTCAAATATGACCCACAGATACTGAATGTTATTCTCACTGCCATTCGTCCCTGGACTAAAAATCCGATTTTTGACAGAGGAAGTTGAATTTCCTCCCCCCCCCCAAAAAATAAACAAACACTATATATAAACTACTGGCTGAAAATCTCAGGAGTCTAATTATAGCTTGTCTGCTGAATCAGTTACTTCACACCACACACACACACACACACACACACACACACACACACACACACACACACGTCATTTCATCAAGTCCTCAGCCCTTTGCACAACATCCTTGATTTAAAAAAGGTGTGTGTTTTTTTGTTGTTGTTGCAGGGTGGGGCCTGCCTGGTCTGTTGCGTTATGCAATGCAAGGAAATCTTTCTTGGAAGAAAGATGCCATGTGAACCTACGGAATCTGATGCAATGGTGATCTACTAGGTCGGAGGCCATGTGGAGCTGAGGACATATTGGAGAAAGGGGGGGCTGAGCGCAGGGATCGGTCCTGGCTCCTTCAGAGCCCCTGGCAGCCAAAGGTAGACTGTTACTGTCCATGGGAGATCAGCGAATAAAGTGTGGAGGGGTGTCTGTGTGTGTGTGTGTGTGTGGTGAGAAAGGAAGCTGCAGGGAAGGAATATATATACATACATACACACAAACACACACACATATATATGCTGGAAAATTTGCATAAAAATACGACTCCTGGGCATGTCTATGGTACAAATAAAATATGAACACCAGGAGAGTATAAATATAAAAATATACTTTACTAAAAGCTGCCAAGCTTTCGTTTGGAAACTCCAAAGATCATCAGGGCTACTGGCTCCTTAGCCCTGATGATGTTTGGAGTTTCCAAACGAAAGCTTGGCAGCTTTTAGTAAAGTATATTTTTATATTTATACTCTCCTGGTGTTCGTATTTTATTTGTACCACACACACACACATATATATGTATATATATATCAGAAAAATGGGGAGGGAGGAATCACGTGAAAAGGAGAATGGAGGGTGGAAATTCTCAATGAAAGGGGGAAAGGGGGAGGGGATGAAGGGGGGAAGGGAGGAGACAAAAAGAGGGCGAAATGGGGGCAAGAAGGGATAAATGGGGAAGGGGAGAAATGATGAATGGGGGCGTGAGAAGGGAAGGAAGAAATCAAGAATTGGGGGTGGGAAGGGGGGGAAATTATGAATGGAGGGTGGGAAGGGGGGAATTATGAATGGGGATGAGAAGGGGGGAAAATTATGAATGGAGGGTGGGAAGGGGGGGAAATTATGAATGGGTGGGCAGGGGAGGAAAGCATGAATGGGGCAGAGGAGGGAGGCGGCGCAGGACTCACCCTCCGGCGAACAGATGAAGTAGCGTGCTCTTCTCCGCCGAGACCCCGGCCATGCCCGCCCCCAAAGCCGGCCTCCGTCCTTCCCGGCGCTGCGCTGCGCTGCGAACTGCCAAACTCCCGAAGAGCCGGCCCCGGGATCGCTTTGCTCGCCACTGCGCCTGCGCTGCCGTCACGCGATGCCGGCGCCGGGCTCCACGTGCGGAGCGGGCCAACCACGAGGCCGGCGGAGGCGCGAGGGGGGAGGGCGATGACGCGCGGGGGGCGCCGCGGACCGCGATTGGCTGGCCGGGGGAGGCGGGGTGAGGCGAGGACGAGAGCTGGGGGGGTGGGACTGACGCCACAGAGGGCGGCGGGAGGCGAGCGTCACAAAGGAGAGGGCGGGGCTTGGCGGAGGGGCGGGCCGGTAGTTTTTTCTTATGAATGGGAGACCGTGGGAAGGGGTGGCGTGGTGGGTACATTCCCGTACTGAATGAATATTCGCGCTAAAAAAAAAAAGTGGGACTCACAGCTCACCACTTGGTCCCCTCTCCCAGGGATGTTGGACTACAAGTCACGCCATGCGGCAGCTACGTGGCTGGGGATAAGGGGAAGTGTAGTCCGTCTGTCACAAACACACACAGGGCAGGCTTTGCTTTTAGTCCCACACTAGGTTGTCAGGCTCCACTTAAGCTAGTTTTCCAGCGAAGGCCAAGCAAAGAAAGGAGAATCTAAGCCATGGTTTACAACAGCCCTTTTATCCCTTAAAAAGTGTTGTATCTTATGAATTAGGATGAAGGTATTTTTATGATGACTGTGATCATGATTTACCACTTGTTGCTTTTACGTACGCTGAGAGCTTATGCACCAGAGACAAATTCCTTGTGTGCCCAATCACACTTGGCCAATAAAGAATTCTATTCTATTTGTCAACCTTGGCAATTTTAAAAAGAGTGGACTGCAACTCCCAGAAGTCCCCAGTCAGCATGCTGGCTGGGGAATTCTGGGAATTGAAGTCCACAAGTTATAAAAGGGCCAAGTCTGAACACCCGTTCTAATGCTACAATCTCTCCTGTAACTACAGTATTTTTTTTTAAAAAAAAGAAAAGACAGAACAATGCATTGTGGGAAGCTGCCTTTGCACCCGCCCCTTTTGTCTAGAGGCGCATTTTTCCTGGGAAAGAGGAACACGCGAACTCGGTGTCACATTGCAATACAATCCGGAGAGTCACGGGGGGGGGCACCTTTGGGCAGTGACGTTGCTCTAGTCTAGCAAAAAAAAAAAAGAAGTGTGTTTGTATGTGGTTCCTTTGGAGAAGAGGCAGCTGTTTGTCACGAGATCCTCTCTGGGGAAGATCAACTTGGAATGAGAGAGGAAAGATCTACCAATTGCTGGCTTCCTCATAAACAAAGGAGAAAATGCAATTTTTTAAAAAAATCAAAACTTCATAATAAAAAAAACCCCACAAGCAATCCACAACCAGGTTGCTTTTCTCCTTGATTAGTTTCCATCCATTGTTTCCTGTCTTGCCTTCTGGTACTTTGGAAAATCTGTTGACCCCCCTTAAATATTGGAAGACTGCTATCATGTCACCCCTAGTCCTTCTCTAGAGTGGCCATATACTTCTTCATATGTTTTAGCCTCCAGTCCCCTGATCATCTTTGTTGCTCTTCTCTGCATTCAGTTCCTGGAGAAATGTGCAATCTAAGCATGCGATGACAATTGTGTTGATGGAAGAAATATGCGTGTACAGATATACACACTCTCAATTTTTATTAAGTTGTTCCCAGACTGAGAGAACAATATGGAACATTGAAAATTCCAAAATGCTTTTCAACAGAAATTCATTCAGGAAAGCTGTTTGCTTGCCAGGCTGAAAAGTTTGACTATTTTTTTTTTTAAATCATTTGGCCCTAAGGGAAGTTCTGCCTTCTTCTGAATAGATAAATTAAAGGGAATCATCCTCTTATCTAGCATTTTAATCCAATCTAGAATTTTACACCCCCCCCCACTGGCTCTGAATTATAAAAACATTTGACATCCCTAAGAATCACTTCCTTAAATTCCTGTTTGTTTCCCCCCCACCAAGCTTTGGCTGATAAGGTTCCCCAGCATATATCTCCAGACATTTGCAAGACCAGATAACAGGTCTTGCTTCATTCAAGTTCACAGATAGCATTGTTGGTCTCTTGGAGTTCATCTGAATTTCAATCAGATAAACTTGTTTTTGCAGACCCTGTTGATCCAAGGATCATGTGATGGTTTTGAAAGGATCTTTCCTGGAGGCAAACATTTTTCTATCTGGACAGATGACTAAAAACCTTCACCTTTGGGCCAGTAGCATATTTACCCATCCCTCCCAAAAAAACACAAAACCCACATTTTTTTTTACTGCTTAAAAACTGTTGTGTGGTGATCCCTAAGTCAGTGAACTAGACATAATCTTTGGGAGAAAAAAAAAACAGAATTTCCCCCACTCTTTACAGTTCCCAGAAGCTTGGGGAAATGTTTTAAGCTGATTGCCAAAATCAATAATTGGAACAAAAACTTTCAAATGGGGAGTATAAAGCACGAGCCCATTTTGTTCCTGTCCAACTAGAAAATACCAAAGGAAAACCACGTTTCCACCACTAACTGTTTAACTGCAGACGTAACCCACCAAAATTTGGCTTCTTAAGCCTTCTCTGCCAATTTTTTTTTTTTTAAATAATCCACAACATAATTCCCTGGAGATGGAAAACTGGTTTGTCCGCTTTGGAAAAGCCTGCAAAATAATCTTTTAACAAATTAGAGAACGGAAATGTGATCTGTACTAACACTGCTTGTGTGCAAGAGGCAATGGGGGAACCCAGAGAAAGCCAACAGGGCAGTGAAGAAAACAGACCCAAACAAAAGGCTTCTGCCTTATTTTATGACTAAGACGCTAGTCCTCATGATTCTGATTTTAAAGGGCTGGCTCTAATTACCTGCAAGGGTTCACATGTAGCTAATATGCGGTTTGCTAGGTTACAGCTAAATGGTCTATGCAAATCCAGTTTCTGTAGAGAACCTGCAAAATTTTGTGCAAATATAATTAAGAGTCATTATTCTAACTGTGGGAGTCTTTAGGCTGTCCATTGTCCCATTAGGAACTAAGAAGGAGAAATGTAACTTTTCCGGCTACCCCAAGCATGCTAACCAGGCGCATAGATTGACTAATGTGGAATTATTCCTGAAACAGAGAGGATAGATAAATAAATAAACTTAAGCTCGGCCGATCTTGGCTAAGCTAAGCAGGGTGAGACCTCTTGATGAGTCCCATTAAAAAAAACAGAACAAAAGCACAATTTCCCAGAGCTGTAAACCAGAGGGGGAAGCTGAAATCTCATCCCGGAATCCTTGAGTCTTTCCAATAAAATGTTGTTGTTAATTGCGAAGTCGTGTCCGACCCGTCGCGACCCCATGGACAATGTTCCTCCAGGTCTTCCTGTCCTCTACCATCTTCTGGAGTCCATTTAAATTCAATAAAATAAAAATCCAATAAAATAAACATATAAAATACATAATGCTAATCAATTGTTGCAATACCTATAGTCGCCACCAGAGGGCAGAGAAGGCTTAAGAAGAGAATAAAAAGCCAGAAAATTTAAAATTTAGCAGAAACTGAATTAGGGACCATTATTTTACACCCTTGCTTGCCAATGCATCCATGACACCGGTGCAAATTTCTCTTTGACAATGCAAAGTCACTACAGAGGTTCAGGAACACACAAGGGAGTTGGCTGAAATGTTTTATAAATGGAAACCTGTCCTTTTCCTTATATACAGATATTTAGAGCGGGACAGGAATCTGAAGCTAATATTTTGGCCCCATCAGGACTGACTCTCTTCCTCAGTTGCTGGCATCTGTTCCAGCACCAATAACTGGCTTTTTCAAAAATAGGAATATTCTGATTATTGCTGTCCGAATTTGAATCCACAACTTAGGATCTAAGCACCATCGCTCCTAGCCCCACCGATGAATTTTCTCTCTGCTAGCTATCAGCTCTGGGTTTCCAACAGATAACCCTCAAGAAAAGGAAAACATTGACAAGGGGAATGGATTTCTCCCTCATGTGGCCGCTGTTAAGATGGACAGAATCAATGCAAAAACTAAAAACAGCTTTATTTGCACCTTATCCATGGTATTAATCACGAAGCCCAAATATTTTGTATTTCCAAAATGATAGGCCTGACTTTGTGTAATTTGCCTCCTGGAAGGAAAAAAAACCCTGTGCAGAAAATTTTAATTTGGTTTCTTCAGTTGTTTCTTTTTAAAAAAAATAAACAAATCAATAAATAATGGGACCAATTTACTTTATGAATCAATTGCGGGGAAGTTTGCTTCTCCCGCTGTAATTTCTTTCTTCTTTTTTTGTTCCAGATTATTTTGTATTTTACATGCACATAGTTTCATGAGAGACTGCACTGCTTTTTATCTTTTACTAACAAATCCTGCAATGATCAGACGCCATTAAAAAGCAAGCAAACACCATCTGTTTCAAGAAAACACAAGCATAAATGGAAAGCAACAACTTCTAAGCTTTCCAACAACAAACAGCACTATGCAAAACAGGAGTTATATATAATGCCAGCCAAAAATTTCAACATCTTTTTTGCAATGCAGTGACCAAAACTGGATGCAGTATTCCAGATGTGGCTTTACTAAGGCCTTTATAACGCGGTACTAATACCTTGTAAAACCTCACTTTTCTCCACATTAAATTTCATTTTGTTGGATAGAGGCCATTGTTCAAGTCTGTATTTTTTTGTTTTTAAATTTTGGGGTTTTAAAAATTATTCTGGGCAAACATATCCTGCAAACTCTTCCAGCTGGGTAAGTTTAGGATTCAATTTCTCCAGTCAAACCCCTTAATGGATATATTTAATAATCAGGTTAACAATTTGTCCTGCATTGTGACAACGATGTCCAGCTTATACGTCACAACAGGTTTTGCTAACCCACATCTCTGTTTTGTGATAGCAAGCTTCACCGCTTAACCCCTCCAGTTTCCTAACTAAATCCAAATCTTCCCTAAAACTCTTAAAACTTCCTTTCCAGGGGCTAAAATAGACTCTGGTTTCTAAAAGCTGCGATTCAACTCCCACATGGTACATTCACATACACAGACAGACACACACACGGGGTTAAAAATACCCCCCATGCGTCTAGACTGTGTCTCAGTGTGCATAAACTGCACCTTTGACACCAGAAAGCTAAAAATAAAAGAATTGTGTTCAGTGTCTGCTCGGAAAGTGATTGGGCAGGAATGAGACAGAGGGATCCTTTTGAGGCTTCAGGGCCAAAAGAAATCCTTTGTGCCCCTCCATTTGGTGAGTGGCGTGTGTGTCTGTTTCTCTTTTTAATGCCCCATTGAGCAAGCTGTCTCCCTGCCTTGCTGCATCAAAGCAACATTTCATTCAAGGTTTTTTTTTTCCACGTCAGGATGAAAAACATGCCAATCAAACTTGCCTTAACTGGAGGAATCCCGTGCTTTCTTCGGTTGCATTAAAAGTTACACCCCTTTAATTAATTCCTTGATTGCATCCACATTGATGAGCCGCACAGGCTGCAATTATTTCCTTCTTAGAAAAGAAGCGGGGGGGGGGGGGAGAGACAGAAATAAAAAGGAAAGCTGGATCCAGCTGCTGGATCCCCAGATGACCTTTTACACAGGTGCGTAATTGCGTCGACCTGATCTGAACATCCGAATCGGGTCTCCAAAAAAGGAGACAAGCAGAAGGCCCATGATCTGTATAAGATGCTGAAAGGACTCTGGGCAGTTGGGTGAGGGGGAAGCATGGGGGGGGGGGTTTCTTAGGAAAAGAAGCCACTGACTCCAGACACAAGCAACATTATTTAGTCTAGAGTTTTTCAGAGGAAGTAATCCTTAGTAGAGGAAAAATCTATGGAATTTCTCCCTCGCTGTGCCTTCACGCCATCCACAGCCCTCCTGCGTGTGTCATTCGGTGCCTTCTCCTCCGTGTAGTAGAGAGTGGAAAGGGAAGGAAACATATATATTTCCCAACACAAGCAACACCCTGTATGTCTCCATCCCTGTTTGGCTCATTCTCAAGTGACTACATCTCCCAGCATCCTCTCCCAGGATGTTGAACACGACAGTCCAGCCGCAGCTCCCCCAGCCCGGCTCAATTAGGCATCAAAAGTGGGAAAACCTGTGCTTTTTATTTCATTTTTAAATTTATCCGCCGCCTCTTTCACCTCTAGGTGGCCTACAGTACAGGTAGGGGCTTGACTGATGACCTTGAGGGACCCCCAAATTTTCTGTTGCTAAGCGAGACATTGAAATGAATTTTGCCTCATTTTGCGACCTCTGTTAAGTGAGTCACTGCACTTGTTAACTTAGAAACCCGGTTTGTTAAGCGAATCTAGGCTTTCCCATCGACTTTGGTAGTCGGACGTTCGCAAAAGGGGGTCGCGTGACACCCCCCCCGGGATGCGCGGCCACCGTCATAAACAGGAGTCTGTTTGCCAAGGATTTGAATTTTGATCCCTGGGAGTGCTGCAACGGCTGTGTAAAAAAATTGCCCGTAAGCTCGCTTTTTACTTTTACACAACAGTATGCACAAGCCGTTTCTATAACAATAAACCTACCTAATTAGCAAAAACAAAATCAACGTTTCACTTTTTTTTTTTTTCATTTCCAGCACAAAACCCCTTTAAGCAGATCGTGGCTCCCGTATTTCAAATGTTCGGAAGGGATAAACAGACAAAAAGCTCGTCCCGGGCTTGCCGAAACCTGTTCCAGTCTGACTACTGTTGCTCCATCTTCAACGCAACACGGAACGTCTTGCCACATTGCCAATTTTCGGTAACCATCAGTGTCCGTGGCCAAAGCCCACTTTGTTCACTTAAAAAGTCAGCCGTGCTATTTATCTACTTTTATGCATCTACCTAGCCAGATGGGAGGTGGAGGATAAGAAGGATAAATATTCTCGCTCAGTTTATCTGGGCCAATATTTCCATCGGTGCCTTGTGTGGATCCTCCCGTATCGAGTTCTACCATAGATTGCATCTAGTCCTCGCAATCTGACCTAACCGACATTGCTGTGAAGAAGCAGGGAGCAAAGAGTGCGACGCCTTTCTGGAGCCACAAAAGAGGATGAAAAAAAAAAGAGAGAGAGAAAGGGCTGGGTTAAAGAAACGAGTCTGCATTTAAATGTCTTCGTTGCAAAAGGAAAGCAGGTTGATGGCGTCTGGAAGAATGGACTCAAGCTGAAGAACAAGGCATGTAGTCCCGAAGTTACGACCATTTGTTTAATGACTATTTGAAGTCACATTAGCAGTTTTGGTCGCCACAAGATAAGAAAGATGTTGAGACTCTGGAAAGAGCGCACAGAAGAGAAGCAAAGATGATCAGAGGGCTAGAGGCTAAAACATAGGAAGAACGGTTGCTGGAATTGGGGATGTCTAAGCGAACAAAGAGGGGTGACATGATAGCAGTCTTCCAATATCTCAAGGGGTGCCCCAAAGAAGAGGGAGTCAAGCTATTCTCCAAAGCGCCTGAAGGCAGGACAAGAAGCAACGGGTGGAAACTAATCAAGGAGTGAAGCAACCTAGAACTAAGGAGAAACTTCCTGACAGTGAGAACAATTAATCAGTGGAACAACCTGCCTCCAGAAGCAGTGAATGCTCCAACACTGGAAGTTTTTAAGAAGAGACTGGACAGCCATTTGTCCAAAATGGTATAGCGTTTCCTGCCTGAGCAGGGGGTTGCACTAGATGACCTCCAAGGTCCCTTCCAACTCTATTATTATGTTATATGCTCTGTGCCAAAATGTATAAAGCGTGCTGGCTGTCTTGTATGGTCACTTTGATCGTCTCCAGCCTGCAGAGCTCAACGTGGTCATCTTGAAAGTACTGGGGTGCAGCTTTTTAAAAAAAAAAAATGAAAAGAAGGACTAGGGTTGACGCGATCAATAGAGGAGAACCCTCCTGAGGACGTGCAGAGTGCTTTTTGCCGTCGCAAAGTTTCCGCAACTCATTCGAACCAACCCCAGCCGGGCGAATGAAGCGGGCGAACCAGCCCACACCCTGCTTTTAAAACATTTATTATTATCCTGACTTGATGAGATCGTTCTCCCCCGCTGCCTTTGAGAGACCCATCCCATTCTAAGCCACGATAGATAAGGCTAAATAAATATTGTTTAAAATTAAATGAAAACACCGCAAAGCGCTCCCCACTGGGTGGCTGATATAGACACCTGGCCTTCCTTGTTTTATAAGCTGGGTGAGCCAACAGCCAGGATACTTGGTTGAGTCCATGCCTTGCCCTGGACAAAAAAGAAAGAAAGAAAGAAAAAAGAAAAAGAAAATAAATCAGTCTCATGGATGACTTTTTTTTTTTTCCCTTCCGGTCTGGTTTAGACGCCCGGCGACAGCTTCAACTCTGCAATAAAAAGGGAACTATAAATAGGTAGTCGGTGTCACCAAGACCTTTTGCAATTCAATGGGTGGCCTGCAGCCAAGGCTGTATCATCAGAGGTCCAGACGGAGGTCTCTCCTGCAGTCGTCTCCTCCTGCCTCCGCCCTCTCCGAAAAATGCTAAGTGGAGACTCTGTTGTCCTTTGAACTCAAGAAATGGATCTGATTTAATCCGAGGATTGTAGGAATTGGGCTTGTGTAGTCTACTGAAAAGCCGAAGTGGGGGGGGGGGAACACGAGGGCAGTCTTCCAGTATCTCAGGGACTGCCCCAAAGAAGAGGGAGTCAAGCTGTTCTCCAAAGCGCCAGGAGAAGGCAGGAGAAGAAGCAAAGGATGGAAACGCACCAAGGAGAGAAGCCACCTAGAACTCAGGAGAAACCGCCTGACAGCGAGAACAATGAACCAGTGGAACAACCTGCCTCTAGAAGTTGTGGGTGCTCCTCATCCTAGAGGCTTTGAAGAAGAGACTGGACAGCCCCTTGTCTGAAGTGGTGTAGGGTCTCTCCTGCTTGAGCAGGGGGTTGGACTAGAAGACCTCCACGCCCCTTCCAGCTCTGTTATTCTGATTGCAAAAGGTGTTGGGACCCACCAACGCTTTTGATGTTCCCAGTCAACTCACCTTGGCTGATCTCAAAGTACCAAAGCCTGAGATGGGACACCACTCGGAAATCCAACCCCCTCCCCCCAAGCACGTTGCATTTTATTGCCCAAGGTCTCCAAAACATCCCAATGGTATAGGGTCTTCGGCTTGACCTTCAAGGTCTATTATTCTGACTCTTTGAATCGACTCTGCTATCCGAGCAAAACTGGCTTTCGTCTCCTAATGCTGAAACAAAAGCCCGTTGCTATTGTGCTTGAAAGCCAGGAACTCATCTTTAGCGCTACGCTGCTCCTGAGCATGGAGGCTCTATTGCTGCTCAGCTTGAATGAATCGGCATGGATTGCAGAGGTGAAATGGGATCAGGACTCCCCCCCCCACAGCTGAGCATCCTGACTCTCCCTCTCTAGAGATAACAGAAGGACAGAGTTGCAAGGGGCCTCAGAGGTCTTCTAGTCCAGCCTCCTGCTCAAGCAGGAAACCTATACCGTTTCAGACAGATGCTATCAGGGACCACTGACACGGCTTTCTCTCTCAAATTTCCAGCAACGGAGATTCAGCTGTAAGAAACCCCTCCTCAGAAAGACCCTCTCAGCCTTTCCCTCGCCCCCAAACCGGGATCCCCAAACCAGGACCTTAAAGGAGGGTGATTGCGAACAAGCAAACCCAACTTTTTGTCAAATGGCGAGTTCTAAAGAGCCCATCGCCTGGTGCAACGTTGCCCGCTTGTCGCAGAGCATGTCGGCTTGAAGAGCATCTGATTCAGAAGTTGCGTTTTCTGACGGCGCAGGACTCCGCAACCCATCAGCCTGCCTTGGGGCCTTGGGGCTTCCTTGATTTTAAGCCCCGCTGCCTGTTTCCCTTTCCTGTGCGTGACCCTCCTTGGTGTGCCAGGGCAGGAAAGACAGTTTCACCATCCACCACCAAGGAAATCAAAAGCCGACACTGATGCTCAGTGGTGAAAGCTTGTGGTGGGTTACTCACTCCGTCCGTCCGTCCGTCTGCCTGTCTGGGACGAGATGTACGAGAAGGAAGCAGCTGCTGGAAACAG